GAACACTCATGTTCTGTTGGATAACCTCAGCTCCCAGCATTTAAGCACTTGACCAAAAGCTCTCTTTGCTGAAATCCCACACAGCAGTTACGTGGTTTAACTGTGTCATCTTATAGCCTTTTACAGAAGGCTCCTCAGAGCCCTAGAAAAGCAGCCAATATGGAATTCAATAGGATTGCACAGTGATTAAAAGCAATACCTTTTAATGGAAACTGATCCTCTGTATGCATTTTGAGATTCTTTCTATGCATTTTAAAGCACAACCACAATTTAAGATACTTGTACTCCCACCCAATTCTGAAAGCAATTTACTTTTAGTAACACATTTTATCTCTATAAATATCTTGTTTTTTCCCCTCAAAGGATACTCTAATCTCCTGCAACTCTCATTCCAGCTCCTTATCTCTGCAATAACTCAAAAACATACCACTGAACATACCTAGAACATCAGTTTTATCTATTGTTTTTAGCAGAAATCTCTCTTTATCAGGAGCTGGTGCACCATCTTCCTTAGAGATAGTTTCCACATTTCATCCTGGCATCAGAGCTAAGTATTCCAGCATGCACTGTTTATACAGACTGCTTTAAGACACTGGGTAATCTGGCAACATGTCATAGTCATTCCTTATTTTTATTGCCAGGTTCTTATCACACCAGGAGAGCCTCAGCTCTCGATTAGCAGCACGTGCTGCATTTTGGCATTTCCTTGCAGGCAGAGCGACAGCACAGAACCCTCTGCTACTCCCCCAGAAGAAAACTACCCTGATCAAGCTGCCCTCAGGCACTTCAACTGGAGAAAAGATATGCTCACATCAATTGATGAAGGCTCCCAGGCCTCCCAGACAAATACAAGTCCTCTGTGAAGCACATGGCCTTCAGCACTGCTTTTCATCTCACACTGCCCAGCCATCCACTTAGGATTTATCAGCCTCAGACCAATAGGTTCCCATTTATAACAAAGTCCCAGACAGGCACCTATGGTCCAAAGACTTAAGCTGCTACTCCATCATCAGCAATAAGATACAGAAAGCACTGCTTAAGCATTGCTAACACACCTATTCCTGTCCCCAGCATGGAAAATGCCATCACCTAGGAAACCATTTTGGAGATCTACTGGTGTCCAGGCATAAGGTTCAGAAGTGTCTAATGCAACAATTACTCAGAGGCACCCACAGCTTGCACCCACTGAAAACCTACAGGAAAGCTAACAGTTTCCATAGAAACAATATGGAAGAGCTTACAGCAAGCTTCCTCCCAGCTGTTCCACTTCCAAGTGCAAACAAAAAGGCCCAGCTATAAGCAAAAAAGGCAACTCTTAAGTGCAACAGCTGGCCTTGCTGCTTATTGTCCTGGAGTGCAAAAGAGATTTTCACATTCCTAAAGGTTAGCCCTAGGGAGTAAGCAACAAGGTTACCTCCTACAGCAGCCTATTTTGATAGCTACCTGCTTATTTGTTGACAGCTACTACCTTTAAAAGCCTTTTCACTAGCTCAGAAATAAATTAGCCCTGCAGAGATCTCCAAGTGCTCATAGGAGCTGCACAGCACAAATGCCTATATAAACACTCCAGTTGTCATCCCAGCTGAGATACTTAAAACTCAGTTTTCCTTCCCTGCTCAGACACGTTTTGAGCGATGCTCTCAGCAGCAAAAAGAGTCTGACAGCAGAAGAGGTATTTGTACAATGTAGTCCTGTGGCCACATGGAATGAAGCCCCTTCTAACTCAGTTTTGAGCTATCACTGAATTATTACTCAGCACAGAACACCCCCAACAAATGCACACCCACCCCATCTCAGAGACAAGGAGCTTCTGGATTCCACTGCTTGCACTTCTCACATCAGATGAGTTCTCCAGCAAGCTTCATGCTGATGGACGAATGGGTGAACAACCACATGACTGCCAAACAAGCACTACCATCCCACTTCATGCCTGTTACACAACATACACTCAAACCTAAAGCAAACCTCACCCTCAGAAGCTGAAAGTTTTACTCCTCCAGATTCGCTCATGCTTCCTGAAGCTTCTCCTCCATAGTCAGATACTGCTGTCTCAGATCTCTGAACAAGACAAGCTTTTTGTTTTGTTCGTATTTCCATGGTAAAGCACACAAGCTGTCACATCTCAAAGCCCACTACAAAGTCACCGCATTCTTTGAGAAAGTATTGGAATTTCATAGGCTAGAGAGGTCGCTGAAATCCAACACTTTCCAAATACTTCAAGAAAATTTATTCACTTTTCAAAATCAGAAGCCAACCAGAAACAACACAGCTCCTATTGCAGCCTCCCTATTATTTCTGGAGGAAAAGACTTCTTTGCTTTCCAGGGATACAAGTGGGAAACGGCTGACCTCTGGGGTTTCACAGCTCCTGGCTTCAGCAACAGAACCATTCCTCAACGCTGCTGCCAACCTCCCCATTTCGAAAGGACAGTGAGAAACATTGGCCAGTCCTAAAAATAAGTCATCTCCCACTCTCTGTCCAAGCCTAATGCCTGCTGGTGCCATTATCCATCAGTCCAGCCTGCAGAATGATGATACTCAAGCACACGTGTAGGACTGCAGGCTCTGCCACAACAAAACAGTGCTGTTTTAAGCTGTCAGCTGCATTTACGACCCAGTAAACAAGTGACTAAGAGACCTATCTATATTAGGTGCAGCTATCTTCTTATTGTCAGTCCTTAATTAGGAAAAAAATCATCTTAGCCATACACAAAAGAGCAAAATTTACAACTCAGCAACAGCTAATCATTTGCAAGGAACAACAGATGCACTTACAATGAAGATATATTTCACCGATCTCACGAAGCACTTCTTTCTGACTGAATAATGCATTATAATGATCATTTGGATAGCTCAAAATACAGTTTTAAAAAATTTATGGAGCACTTTGTTCACCATCCACTTCTGCAGAAGTATTCCTTAATTTGTGCCGTATCCGAAGGCTAGGCGGGTGCTGGCAATACATGCATTGATTCATATCTTAAGCCAAAAGGAAGAAAGTGAACAACCTAAGCAGAAGTGTCACAGCTGGAGTCAACACTTCAGTACTTTCTGGATGGCCACTTTTCCTGCCCTATTATTTCTCAGAAGCCTGACAGCAGGTTGCAGCTGAACTCAGGTTATTACTGAGATAAACCTCTGTCTGTAGTCTGAACTATTAATCCACAGCTTCCTGCAGATTTAGAAGGAATGAGAACAAAATCAGTGTTGGGTTTGGCTTTCTTCCCCCAAGTAATTTTTACTGAGGTTAACTGTAACTCAAATCAGAGCAGGAGGAAAACTTACACTCAGCAAGTTAAACTGTGGAAAACACAGAGTCTCATAGAACAGGCCTACTGAGCTCTTCATTTCTCATCTGGAGTACATGAACTTTGCTCACCAGTAACCAATTGTCCAAAACAAAGCTTCAAGAGCCTCAGCATCTAAGCAATCCCAGGTCTATAAAGCTCTCTACCTGAGGCAGGTAAGAAAGTACAAAACAAAGCTGAATCTGAGACTGCACTTACTCGATATCCTCTAAGCAGGTTAAGAAGATTTCTAAGCATCTCCATCTATAATCCTCTTACCCTGCAAGAGATGTACTTGTTTACACATTCCGTGCTTTTCACATGTAAACTTAACACAAAACAGGAGGAAAAACAGAAGTTGTCCATCTCTGAAGGAAACAGACTGATAAGAGGCTGCTTATCTGCGGGCCAGCAATCCCCTCCAACCTGCTGATAACAGAACTGTCCACGTAACAACCAACTCATTTCCTCAAAATCATTTCTTCACTTAGCCCAAATAAAACCAAACTCATTCTGCTGCCGTCCTCCTTCCAGCCACCCATATATTTTAAGCCATTGTCTACTAAAATGCACAAATAACACAGATCAGAATACGAGTTAAGATGCGAATCACTGAGCAGCATTGGGCACATGGAAAGTAGAACACGAGGCTTAAGTGTTCTGAGACAAACATGCCAGTCCTTAACCTCACTCCACATCTAGTGCTATTATCAGTACTTTCACTGGTAACATGGTATGTTACATCTAGCTCCTCAGCTAGCTCTAAATCAGTATTACAAATTCACCTTCAGATAATGTTTTATGATCCTTGGATCACGATCAGCACTTTTAAGTGCTCACATTAATTTTTACTCATATTGAACAACTCTTCCCCCTCAGTAGAAAAAAAACAAGCCACAAGTCATCCTTCAGCCTTGGTTTTTTGGAACAGGGCTTCACCATTTCTGCTGCTCTGGTCTCAAGCAGCAGGCTTCTCCATTGGCACTGGGAGAATGAGGACAGGATCATCATCCATTCTGCCTGAAGCACTGGGTAACTACTGCGTCCTAGCAAGAACACTCTAAGAAAGGCTGTCCCTCTGATATGTGAGGCAGGGACACCAATGTATCTTGAGCTGTTTTTCACCAGCATCCCCATGAGAATTCCTCTATGAATTTAAAGCATGTCTTGCATTTGTACTCATATCTTGTATCTGTCATGGAGCAAATCCTTCAAGATCCAATGAGCACATCAGCCAGCTCTGCTGAAAACTAAAAACCTCACTAATAAGAGAGCAAGGGAACAGGAGCCACCATGCCATCTATTAATAGAAACTTCAGCAGAGCATAAAGAATAGAGGGCTGGGATGACTGTGCCTTCTTTCTAGGATGCTGCTGTCCTGCTTACCAGACCATTACGTGCTGAGCAGAAGGAAGGACGGGTATGGGTGAATAATAATGCAGGTGCAGCTTCTGCAGTTTTTCATTTGTGCCTGGAAAATGCTTGCAATCACTTGACCTAGCTAACAACGAGAATGGCTTTTCAGATCTTGCAACATTTTATGAGCATTTCAACAGTCAATGCTACCAATCTCTGCAAAACCACTCCTTGCCCTCTAATAAAAAGCTCATTAATTCTTCCAGATCTAAATGAACACATACAAGGCTTCAACGAAGAATCTTGGCTTAAGTCAGCTCTGCTCCAGAAAATAAGCAACTCAAAACCAAGTCCCTACCTTCCTCCTCTTTTGATTCTGACTCTCCCAAAGGCAATAAGAAGTTTCCACACACCTGAAGGGACACAGAAAGCAATCAACAGAACACCTCACTCACAACTTGTTTTAAGTGGAATGAAAAATTGAAGCCAGCAAGAATAAATCAAGTATCAGCTGGAGCATGCAGCAAGCAACAAGTCCGAGCAAAACAGCATCCCAGTTAACAGGTATCACAAAGAGTCAAATGCATCTATTGCTTCAGAAAGGCTTTGATAGCAGCACGAAGTATTTCATACACAGAAGCAAGGAAGACAAGGTATGAATACCCACAGCAAGTTGAACTTAGCTCATGTAGCATTCTCCCCAGCTGCCAGCAAACAAAGATTAACCAGCACCTCCTGGCACAGACTACTTGGATCTTGGATAAATCTTGTCACTGTTTGCATTTGCAAGTCCAGTGTCACAATGTCAGCAGCTGAATCAGTTCTGACCCATCTTAAGACTTCCATCCATATGTATTCATAGCTGTACAAAGCAGATGATGGAACAGGGTTACTTTAACCTACACACTCTACGCATATTGCAGCCCAAGCTAAAAGATAAATTCTTCCTGCACAGCATTACCCATGTTGTTTTATTCATTTTAGCAGACCTTCCACATTCCCTTCACCTTTTCCCACAGAGACAAGTGCTTGCCACACCAGGCACATTAACATGCATCATAACATGCAGCAGGATCAGTAATGCAAGTTGCCTGGCAGGGTAGCAGGGCTGGCAAGTAGCCATTAATACCACCAGAGCAGAGAACAAATTGCAGAAGTACACTGTACAAACTTGCTAATTTTTGACTGGGTTACTAGCTAAAACCAGGCAACAGAAACAGGTGAAGTGACAGAGATCTTTCCCTCACACTCTACAGCAGCTTGCTGTGAATGTAAGATGAGACAGTTGCCCTCTCCTACCTTCAGCTGCTTGCTTTCCTACTACTAGGAAAATTGAAAGGATGACAATGATGTAAATTTGTTATGAGTGACAAGCAGCTGTGAAAAATGATGAATAAAGTCACTAGGCTGCTAGAGGATTTGCACACATGACTGCATCACTGCCTATCTGCTGAGAAGACAGAACACCTTGGCCATCTGTAAGCTTGAGCTTGCTCTCCCCCCTTTCAATGAGAGCAACAGCATGAAATGGTATTGAGAAAGTGGCCTCTCTTTCTAAGAATTTAGTGACTCCAACATGAAACAGCCTCTCAGTTCAAGCACAGTTTTGAAAGAAACAGTGGCAGAATTCCTCAGGCATCTTTCCTGATATTAGGAGGCTGCAGTGGACCTGAACAGAGCTTTCTCAAAGGAGAGCTCCGAGATGCCAGCCACCACAATTATATCTTCAGCCTCATGCCATCAGCAAAGGTGGATTCCTCCAGGTAAAACAAATTCTGCAGACAAGTTAATGTAAGTGCACATGGACAAGCAGCCCTGACTCAAGCACACAATCCTCCATCATTATGATACATCCATATAAGCCTTTCAAGCAGCCCCTTGCCAGACCAGGCACCTCTTCCTACCTCTGCCTGTATTCACTAATTGTATTAAATTGCTACAGCAACTTGCAGTCTCTGCCTAATGAGAGAAGTTACATCTCTAGATTATGATGCTGCTGGATCAATATATTTTATAAACAAGGATTGTACAGCTATAAAAGCTGCTGTGTTTTAAGGGTGGGAAGACTACCAAGTCACTTTGTGCTCATACAGCGCGTTCCCCCAGGACACACAGATGTACTCATGTCAGCTTTATGACAACAATAACACTACTTTGCTTTCCAGTAGTATCTTTTACACAGAATCCTGGCATGCCTTACAAATGGTGAAGCAGACGCTGGGAGTTTCTCAGCATACCTCTGGGAGCATTCACAGAGGCTAACGTCAGCTAAGGAGGCCCATTGCTGGGATCTCTGCTGTCAGAGACAGAAGCCATGTCAGCACTGCTACAAATCATTTTCTATAAGACTCGTGGGAAGCCTGCAGCTGTAAATAGCCTCTCTCCCCCCCCAGTTTTAAATGAAACTTGGAGTACTTGGAACCACCCCAGGCCAGAGCTGTGTTCATCAATATTTTAAGGGACAATTAACATATACATCATCTCAATGGTAATAAGAGAAGGGTCAGCAGGATAACATCCATCATTCTTCAGTTCAAGAGAAAACAGTCATCTTGTCTCTATTTCTCTCTAAGAAGGCACCACTCTTCCCAAAGGCTCTTCTTACACCGTTCATCAATGTCTAAAGATATGTTTCACAATCAGCTTTTCACATTTAGTGCTCAGCTTTTCAGCAGCGCAACACAGACAAGCTCAGACAGAACAATTCCTTTCCTGCACCAATACAACACATCCTCCCTCTTGCTTTGAGGCTCCAATCTCAGCCATGCTACAGATGACAAAGCCTACTGAGGAACTAGAGGCCCTTCAAACCGTATAGCAGGTGGAACTCATCCTGTTCTAAAGCAAACCAGAGTATAGAGAACAGGAAAAAAAGTAGGAAAAGCAGAAGTCTCGCCTCAAAAACAAAATATAGGGCAAAACAGTCCAAGGACAAATGTTATTCCATCTATTGAAAGGAAGACTGACTTCAAAAACTGAAGCATTGAAGCACATACACACGTCAGCCTCTGTCTTGAAGGAAAAAAGGAAAGATCTGATCTCTGATGTGGTAACAGAAAACCTCCTGTTCTATTGTTCCTGCACTACCCCAAGAGGATTTACCCCAGATTTAATTTATCTTCTCTATTTCAGATGAAAGAACAGGCTCAGAATTTTAAACGGCTTTTTATACCCCTTTCCCCCCCAACTTCCTTCATGTCAGGCTTCATCTGAAGGAAACACCACCTTGCACAATACCAACCTCTTAATTCTTATTCCTTGCAAGACCATTTCCCCTGCTATCATGTAAATGAGCCTCCTTGGAGCTCTCCAGCATTATTGTACATCATGGTTGTTTTATTACTCAACACTGTAAAAGCAGTCCAAGCCTCAATTACTACTCACAGATGAATAAACTATACAGTGCACTTAGCAAAGCAATGATTGCTTAAGGTATACGGCCCCCATATTTGCACACATTTAGGTTTGAAGTACCTTGAAGGAGAACGTAGCTCTGTACAGGAATGTCCTTCAACAGCCAAGCAATAAATGCCATATTTTTATGCAACATTCATTTCAATGAATCAGTTCCATTCACAGCTGCAATTCTGCCATACGAGCCCTGTTCTTTACTGTTGCTTAGAGGACTTGAATTTAGAGCTCTGAATTCTAATTGAAGCACTGAAATTCTGACTCACACAGGACACCTGAAAGGCAACTTACTAATAGTCTAAAGCAGTTTGTTTGGAGGCTTCTGAAAGCACTGTTACCAGTTGGTTTACACCTCTGATAAGGAGTTCCCCCACAGTCATATACTGAGACAAAGCATTAGGTGCTTTCAGCACAGCTGTGAGCATCTCAGGTATTTTCAACTGTATCCATACAAAATGCAATCAATTGCATCCCGATCCCCAAAACCTTTACACAAGACATCATCTTTCTAAAAAATAACCTGCTCTCTGTACTTCCTCAGCCTAGAAACAATGCTGCTACATTATGCAACCTAAGTGCATAGTTTTTGCACTACAAGGGTGCTAGAGTACAGCCTGTAACAATCTCAGAACAGAAGTCAGCAGGTGTAAGTAGGAATTGACATTTTTGAAAGCACATCATGCAAATACATTAACAGCAACAGCCTTATCCTTGTTACATTTACAAAGAAACAACTCCACAATTCAGAAGAGTAGAAAGGGAGAATATGAGGCAAGCTGAAGTTATGCCTACTACCTTGAATTGGCAGCCTGCATGATAAAAGCCTCCATCAAGTTAAACTTGGCAGCCCTTCATTACCACAGACAGTAGTGCTTTACTGTACCCCCACATGTAGCTGGAACACAGCTCTTAAGGACTGTAGGACTGTTGCCTACCTTCCTCTGTAGCACAGCATTTGTAAGTGAAGCTTCTACCATTGAGGGGAGAGTTGCAGCAAACTGAGTTCTGCACTCCTGGCACACAGGCTTGAAACACCTCGCCAGTTTCTCAGCAGACCAGCTCCTGTCCCTGCAAGCATGAAAGAGTAGGTATTAAGACAATGTTTCTACATAGTTGTAACTGCTCTCCAGTGCATACTTCACCCAGTAATTGCTCTATTATGTTATCATCAGTGGTAAGATAAACATAAAATCATTTCTACAATGGCTCAGCAGCTCTAGGAGTATTTAGCACCAGATATGCAGTTTTGTGGTCAGTCACCTCCCAGTCCTACACTTAAACCTTGAGCAAATAGTGATTTTGGTACTGCTGTTCTGCTCCAGCTTGGGGCACAGAATAAGAATTGTCCTAGGAAAAGGCTGCAGCTCTTCAGCAAGAGTCAAGGATCCTGTCAGCCCCACAGCCACTAATCTGTGACAAAACCAAAACTCCCCCACTGCATGAAAGCAGTCCAGAGGAAAGGGCTGTTCTGAGCGTGCAAAGACCTCCACACTACTTGATGCACTCTCACCTGAGCCGCATCCAAAGATTCAGCCATCCGAAGTTTAATATTCAGTGCAGTTGTAGACAACATGTAACCCACTGCACCCATCTACTGCTCTCACACAGCAGCTGATTTGCTCCTTAGCACACTTCAGAGGACATTCCTACCCACATCCTGAGAAATAATGTGCTTCCTGGACTGCGTGCGAAGAGCAACTGACTCCTCAGTAACAACACCTCTTTCTGAACTCCAGTTGCCAGTGCAATTAGGAGCTGAACACTTACAGCTGATGTCTTCCATTAGAGATAGGACCTCCCCCTGTGCTCCCTTCTCCTTGTGAGAAAAAGCAACTGGGGGTGCACTGAAAAGCTTTTTTTCTATGTACTTGCATACATTACAGCATACCCTTTGCATTCAGCTAGTTTAGTTTTGCTGTACATCAGAACAAAATGCCTTTAATAAAGCACCTCACAACCCATTTCTTACCCATACAGACACCCATCCTTGCAATCCCCAGCACCTCACATATCCCATTCAATAGCAAGCCATCCCTCACTACCCTTTCTCCTACAGCTCCACCAGCAGCTCCTCAGTTTTAATCCATTCACACCTGTTAGTAGCTCATTTCCCAAAGCCTTACAGCTGGAAGCTGATGGAATCAGGTTCTGCACAGTAGGAGCTGTAGGTTTGCTACATTTACTTACATTAGTCTAGGAACACACCATCAACAGCTTTAAGATGAAGCCCAATTTTTCTTGCTAGCTTAAGCACAGGACAGTACTGGCATCTTATCCTGCAGGCTGTATTGATTTCTCAAGTTGATGTATGGCTTGGCCAGCATATGTTAATTAAATGCAAGGTCTCTTTTGGATACATCAATTGCTTCTTTTTAAGAGAGCAACTGCTTACACTGCATGAAGCTCTGTGTCTGCACACTGTAGTGCTAAGCACGAACACCTGAGGCTCACAGAAGCATTAAGTTTCACATGGGCATACATTTAATGGTTGTTTCAAAGTCAGAACAGAAAGGGGCTTTCAGCTGCCACTAAATAAACCTCAGTTATGGACTACATGCAGAGCAGGGAGTGTTATGATGGAAAAACCCCTAATCCCAGATCCTAACTCATCTGGGTAATCACGTCATACAAACACATATATGGCAGATTTGCTTTATGAGCCATTTTAGACAGCTACTCCATGGCACTAAGACTGCATGAACCAACAGGACAAGCCATGTTCAAAGCATCACACCTCAACCTTCTTACAAGTAGAGACCAATTCAAGCTTTTTAAGGCATGTAAATGCAAGGAATGGCAAAAAAAAGGGCCAAACTGTAAAAAGTCACTGTCTCATAATGCTGATAGCAAACTATTCCCCCCAGCACCTACCAATTTTAAGGTATCAAAACTCATGTCTCAGATACATTCAGCCTTCCACTCTCTCAATATGAACTGCACTACATCAGATTCTCACAAACAAGGCAGTAGGTCACTAACCCTCCCCTGTTTCACAAGATTTTGTCCCATAAAGCCTCTTCTCTTTCTCCAGACTCCCCTCCTGGGTTTTCATGCAACTCTACCACCAACAGCTCTAAGCAAAAGTAGAAATCTTTAAAATACTTACAGTTCTTTGTTAGGGTTCTGTACTTTGCCTTCATGTAGAGTTCTCTCTACAGTTGCACTGAAGTGAAAGAAAACAAAATCAATAGGAACATAACCAGAATTATGACTCATACAGCTGAAATAGGAGATCACTTCTATTACCTGGACAATACACTTTCACGCACAAGCTTCCTTACTGATTCCTAATGAATTCCCTTCCTCATTTTAGCTACCAGTTACCTTCAGACACAGACTTTTTTTCTTTTAAAAGCCCAGATCTATCCAGTTTCTCTCTTTATAGAGCACCAGGAGTTCTCCTAGTTAAAACAAATAAGCTACAAGTGTGCTGCCAGCTTTATTTTAGGATACACAAGTAATTGCCTTACCCACCTACCTGCTCGTTCAGTTAGTGAGATCCTGAGCCACCTTCAAGCAAGCAGAAACTTTTACATGTACTCCAAATCCAAAATGCAAATAAAGAGTGCAGGGATAGCCCACAAAGCTGAACAACAAAAGCATAAGCAACCATAATTCAGAAGCACGCTCTACTGGCTCAAAAGCCTTCCATTCCTCTGCTCTCAGTTCCAGAAAGCAAAAAACAATACTGCAAATCAAAGTAAGAAAAAAAAGTATTAAAGCCCAGCCACAAACAGCCACAGCCCCCTTCCACAAAGGCTCCACACCAACTCCTCACCCCACAACCACCTGCAAACGCTGCCCCAGAGAGGGCACTATAAATACCCACCCCGCATGGCTATAAATAAGGGAAGCAGCAGTGCCCCTCTGTGCCACCTGTGCTTTGTGGGGTTGATGCTGAGTGGCAGCACCTGTGGGGCTGCTCTGCTTTTTTTGAGACACAGCTGTGGCCCTTTCAGTTACTGAAATCAGCACCTGGAGTGCAGGAGGTGCAATCAGTGCTGCAGAAGATCCTGAGCTTTGGGTTTTGCTGGTATGTTCTGTCAGCAAATTCATGATCCTGCCCTGTAAATGTTGGTTTTGCTGCAGTGATGTTTCTGGCACTTTTATTTTTTGCATTTGATTCACGTTAGTAATGCTTTCTGATTCCTTTTTTTGCTGCTTTTCTCACAGTAATGAAAGGGCCTTTATTTGGGTTTTAAAGAGCTTAACAACTTTTTTTCTGAGCTCTAGCAATGTGATAGCTTCAGGAATGCATGCTGTGCAATGTTTGGGCCTTGATGAGTTTTGATGGTGCCTTTAATTAAACTCAGAGTCCGGTTAAGTGAGCTTCTTACTCACTGATACAGCATGAGGCAGCTGTAGCATGAAGAACCATTACAAATTATGCATTTTTCAGCATAATTGTAGGTCAAGAGTAACCAGGTCAGGACTCCAGCAATTCAAAGGTCTTGGTGTTTGCAGGCACTCTTTGTTGTTTATTTTATATTTGCTGGTGCAATTCAGTTTGTTCCATAGAGGTCTCTTTAGCCATCAATCACTGACGAAGTGCTGCGTGCTGTAATTTGAGAGTAATAATTGTAGTCAGGGAAAAGCAAAGCAAACAAAATCTGCTCGTGCTGTTCTTGTGACTTGATTGGATTAGGGGCTACCTGGGATGATGGTTGTGTTGCTGCAAGTGTTACTTGCTCGTATAAATGCAATCTTGAGATGTGTAGCTGCTCTCCAGAGGACTTTCTGTAGCTTTTGTAAGTAGCTGCTACCATGATGTAGGTATGGAGAACTTTTTAGCAAGCTCTCTCTTTTGGGTGAAAGGGACAAAGGGAAGGGAGGTTCTGACCCTGCATGAGGTGTAGGGTCTTAAACTTAATGCATTTGAGCACTAATGCTTGAGTCCTAAATCTGCTTATGTTTTAAAATCTAATAGGAGAGTGCTGTGATTTTCATGCTGAGATGCACTGCTGGTGCTGGAGTGCAGAGTGCTTGTATGTTCACTGGATTTTTAGGGTTTCTCTTCTACTGCTATCTCAAATTGGAATGCAGTGGTTCAGTGAAAGACTGTCCCTCAATCTTCTGAGAGAAGCTTAGGGACACATCTATGTCATCTTGCAGAAAAGAGAGATGTAATGGAAGGTGTAGCTCGTGCACTTGCCAGTACTCATGGCATGCAGAGGCTGACTCTCAGCCCAGAAATGAAAGCAATAAGGTGATAGGTGAGCTCATATGGCATTGTCAGCTGATGCTCGTGATGTTTGTGACAACTGAAGGTCAAGACAGCGCTTGTTTTCTTCCCAAGAAGTCTGCAGCTTTTCACCCCAAATCCAGAACTGTAAGCAGTTATTTTCTAATGCCACTTTAATCACATTAATCCTGGTCTGAGGCTTGTTATCTTGTAACGACCTCCCTTTCTACTAGCTACTCAAACCAGCTTAATTGATGGAAAACACTTCTCTGCAGCCCTACTGGTTCTGCTATGTGTGAAGTGATGCTTCACAGCTGTTAAGGGGAGAACAGTTCGAACCTTGGGGCCAGGCTTGGTATTGTGGCTGTCTTCAGTCTCTGTGCCCTTCTAAAAGTGCTCTGCCACAAAAGCCCTTTTGTCCCTGAGGATGTACCTCAATTATCTTCGGGTCACAGCATGGTGCCTGGAAGTTCCATAATGATATGGAGTGGTGAATATAAAGGAGCTAAGCTCAAATTATAGCCAGGATGTATCACTTACTGGCCTTGCATTCATGTGGCAGTTGGCCTGGGATGCTGAACAGCACTACAGGCTTTATCTCCTAAATTAACAGCCTGCTGTGATGTTCTGCTTGATTACAGATGTGATTTTATTGGGTTTGGAAACTAAGAGCAAACTTGAGAGCTGTAAGACTAACTAACAGATATAACCATTCACATTATGCTAGGAAACCTATACAAAGTGAGCTCTGTAACACACAGGGGTACTTTGCAGCCTAACTTGGCATCATGAAATGCTACAGTGAATGAACAACTGCTGATGGGCAACCATCAGTATGGCATGTGTAACTGGGGGGGAGACAATAACACAGCCCAACTGCATTTTGCAGTTCTGTTATTGTCAGCAGTAGGATGTATACTCTCCTAACAGATTGAGAAGCTGCAGTGATGAGCTGTGGTCTGTGCTGCTGCCAACATCACTCACTTCTATTAGGATGATCTTGATAGGTATTTACAATTGTCCTCCAGAGGTGGCTTTTCTTCTCAATTATGGGGCTATCCTGGCTATACTGAGTCAGCTATATGCAATACAATCATTAGGATAATATAGGATCTCTGAGCAGTTAGTGAGTGAAAACTGTTGTCCACTGTGCCCCAAGGATAAATGAATCTAATGTGATTTTTAACTCCCCCTTTTTATACAGGCCTGTTGGCTGCTCCTGAGGCAGCAAGAAGCTCACTGCTGCTGAGCAGGAGACGTGCACTGCTTCCCTGCAGGGACACCTGTGAACATGGGAGTGCAACTCAGTAAGGAGCCCTTCATTGTGGTTTACAAAAAAACATCCAAGCGGGTGGAGAAAGAAGTTCCAGAGGCTGCTGCAACACATCCTCCAAAGTCTGAGGACTTCCAGGATGCTGCCAAAGAGATGCCTAAGGGAACCTGGCAGCACCGCCAGGATTCTCCAGATGCAAGCAAAAGACTGTAAGAGTGACCCAACAGCAAGTCCTCTGTGCTGGAGGTGGGGGAGGAAACGGCTCATAAAAACTGTCCTTCTGTACACTGCATCATGGACTAGTTAATGGACAACAGCAGATACTCATGTATTTAACATAGGAAATAGCCTTACTTGGAAATGGACATCTTTTCCCTGTGCTGGATGATCCCCTGTGGCTTGAGATACCTACTCCTAGCAGGTGCATATCTTAACCATACTGACTCTGGTCTTGTACGTACAAAATATAAAGCAGATACAACACCCTCTTAGGAAACTGTTACCCTGCTAGAAGCTGTCTGTTATGATCTAGTGACATACTGAGCTTAAAATGAGTTCTTCACGTGCAGTATTACATAGCATCAATGAGGTTCCTGAATGCATTGAGCCCTGTACTACCAAGACTTGCTCAAGATGCAGATAATTTACAGTCTTGCAACTTGAACACAAATGAAGTTATTTGGGAGATGCAGGTAGTCTCAGTAAAATGAAGGCAAATGCAGGAACTGAAGAAACCTGAGCTTTGTAATGGGTGTTCTGTAACCTGAGTGTTTATAACCTGGATGCCATCCAGTTATCACTGAAGTAATTTTTTGGTAATGCTCTACCTAGACTTGAGGGATCTCTTTGGATTAAGAGTTGTGCTGGGCAAAAAGACCTCAGCCTAAAAGCAGAGGTAGCGTAGCTCTCCTGCAGTTACTGTGCTCTGAGGCTGCAGTAACAGAACAAAGTCCTTGGCCATAACTGTAATAAGGTGGAAATGCCTTGCTCTCTAATTGAGGTTCAGACTGTTTTGAAATTCCCACTTGAAAAGAAAACTGAGATGTTTGTAACATGACTCTTCAAAGCATTTCTAAACCTGTGCTCTCTCCCCTCTGAAGTTTCACTTGGGTTGAAAGCAGCTTCATTATTTTTTCATCTGCTTTCACTTATGATGCTGTTGTCTCAAGCTGTTTGATCTATCTTTTTGCTAACCCCATTTTTACTCAGTCCAGTACAGATTAAGGTGGGGAATGTGATTTAAGGTATCTGAAGCAAAAAGCATCTTTTTCATATCATGTCTATGGTCTAAAGACACGGTCACCTTTCACCACTGCCTTTTTCCTTCAGTCAATGTAGGCTTCCAAGCATCTGGTGCTCAATGTGAGTTATAGACACACTCAGCTGTCCTGCATGCCTGTACAAAATGCTTCTCTTCTAGAGTGCATTGCTATAATGAGGAATAGGGATAGCATAAGGCATTTCTCTAGATGCTAGGATTTATTACCTGCTAGCTTAGCCTTAAGTGAGCTAGTTTTGCTTACCTGTGTTGATACAAACTATATTTGATATAAAATCCAGAATCCTGTTCTGTATTAGCATGAATAGACAGCTCAAGTGCTAAGCTCATGATGGGCAGACAGGTCAAACCAAGGCTAGCAGTGCGATATGATGAGCAGCTACAAGGAAAGAAATAGCCCCATTTTTTTTTTTTTTTGGCAGGCTCTGGGATGTTACAGTATTAAATTCAGTACACACGTACACATAGAATGAAGAGGCTGGGAAATGGTTTGGGCACTGGGAGCTGATAAATACACTGCATCTTCCTCACAGTGCCCACAGGCAACCTGGTGGATTGCCATACTGGGGGATTCAGCTGCAGTTCACTGGTAGGTGACTGGGACCTGCTTGCGGATCACAAATCCATCTGCAGCTGTAAGATGCTATTATAACAGATTTGCTTCCAGGCGGCAGTGAGCTTGTATTTTACCACGACTTGACAGTGGGCAAAGCAGAGGATGAGTACTTGTCAACCAGTAACCAGGGCTGTGCCCCTCTTGTTCCCTATGGCCAGCTGCAGAACAACTTGGTTTCTGTAGCTGTATGAACAGAGTGGGGCTATGAGTGCTCTGACATGTGCATGCATGCCTTTAAAGTTGGTCTCTCAAGTCAAATAAGTAAGCTTTTGCAAGAGAAGTGTAACAGCCGTTCTGATAGTAGGTCTGTGTGCTCTTTTCTAATGCTATAAATGCAAAAGTATCCACACGAAATAAGGCTTCTCATCTGTTCCTTTTCCTGTTCTAATGTGCTTTGTCAAGAGTCATAAACCAACGTTATTCAAATAAAATGTTACAGGCACCAATCTAAGAATATTTTAAGTGGTGTTAAATAACATTTCATGTGATACAAAAGAGAATGGTGTGAGGAGGAACTGAGTAATGGAACTAATATTCATGGCCATGTGAAGAAGCACCATGTGGAGCTTTGGGGATGGGGCTGGTAGCTTGCCTTGATGTATGCTGAAGTATTGGAACAGTAATACTTAAATGCTTTGCCCTGTGCTTATCTTCTACTGGAGGATGTGGTGGAGTTGTTCTCCTTGATGTGAATGGTTTATGTTCCTGTACCACCTGTTAATAAAAAAATGAAGGGGCAATGTAAACACCTACTGATATATTGCTGTGATTAAGTACCTATCAGAAAGCTCTCAAAGCCTGCTAAAGCAATTTTGATCTTACAGGAGGTGAGTTCACATGCTGTTGTTTACCCTACAAAGGGAAAGTCCGTGCTTTGTCTCAGAAACATTTGCTCTATTCTTGTGTAACAAAACATAAATAAACACATAATCCTTCATATTAAATCTTCCTTCTTCCTTTCAAAATCAATGTTTTGACTGTAACAATATAAAAATCAGAGATGAGCTGAGTGGCTGAAGAGGAGACTACAGAAGTCCAGGATGCTGCAGGGTGCAAGGAAGTGGGAAAATGAGCACCAGGGGCCTCGTGATAGGCTGCCCTGCATGAGGAAGAGCGTGATGAAGGTGTGCTGCAAGACCAAAAACAGCACTGAGAAGCCTTAAACCTTGTTCTTGATGCTGGAACAAAAATATGGCAGTTTATTAAAAAAAAACATGTCTAAATGTGCTTTGGTGTCTGTGTACACATACGTATGTTCCACGTATCCAGAATTCAATAAGGAAGTAAAATACTGTCACAAAACTGGCAGCTATGTATCTTTGTCTGCTTACACACGTGCCTGTAAGACAATGACCATTTAGATGTTACTAAATATGTAATCAGACCTGGTACATACACACTTGGCTATTTTTCAATTAAACAGGACACATATCCTCTTGATGCCTCTACTCACAAGTAACCTTTATTTGCCCTCATTTCCAAGTGAAATATGACTTAAGTGCTTCAGTTACTCGCCCTAGCTTTGCCATAACCTAACACTTTAGATCAGGTGTTGTTTTTGAGTACAAAGTATTACCTAGCTTTTGTCATCTATATCCATCCCCTGGCAGCTCTACAGTACTCTTTTCCAGGTACATCCAACTCAAACCTGCTCTCCTGGCTGGCAATGCTATCAGCTTGTACACTGAGAATGGGATGCCCTCACCAAAGGACAGGATTTTCCAATCCTGTAACTTCAGAGTTTCCTCCTGCTGTTTTAAACACCATGTTTACATCACTGCTCAATTTCAACTGAAGCTGTCCTATTAGAAAAGCACTGCATAAAAGTGATTTGTATCTATTTTGTATTTACTTAGATATGCAAACTACATATCAAACGTGCAGCCTCTGGCACAGCTTTGAATGTCAAGTGGGGCAAGATGTAAGCTACCCCTACCAGGCGTATGCTGTGATCAATGATGCATGTACTTGCAGGACTGATGTTACCCCTCTAAAGTCAACCAGAGATGGAGAACAGGAGAACAGCTGTAAAACAGGCAACTTTGATCTTCCTAAGCTTAGTAGCTTGTTCATCCAGTTTTGACTCAATCTTTTTCTCAGATTAGGCTTGCTGAGGCAGGTTTCATTAATGTACTGAGCTATGGGCCCAAACACTTTCTGTCATCCTTACAGGTGGTAAAAGTAATGGGAAAATTAGTGAAGGCAGACTAAGGACTCCCTTAGAGGCAGTGAGAACTAAAATAGTAAGAAACAGTCAAAATCTCATAAGGAAAATCTTACTTTTTTTTCTCCTATTTGTTTAACACATCCCGGTCTTCTTATTGAAGATGGAGGATGAAACATAAATAAAATGCCTTCTTTATATCCATTATTTTAGCTGCAATTTTGTGTGAAGGGAGATCTGTCAACACACTGACTTCACTTCTATTCTCAATGCACCTCTCAGCAGTGGCAGTCCATGGCCCATGCTGACTGTGACCTGGGTAATTCCTGGTCCTCCAGCAATGACATCAGCCTGAGCAAATCCACAACACTTTGAGTGAGTCAGAGTGCTCTGAGAAACAAGAGGGGAGAAGAAAGAATCAACTCTGTACTTTCCAGCCTCTGCCCATTTAGTCTTGAGGAAATATTAACACCCAGAAGCAAAGCTTTATTCTTCCTGTATCACCTGCTGGGCCTTGAGTATGATGAAGACTCCCACTGCTCCTATATCTTTCTGTTGTCCAAGAGTTGGCCTTTCCATTTCACACAGGCAACATCATTCTGCTGCATCTGAGCCTACTAATGATGCAAGTGAGATCAGCCTCAAAGATGCCCAGCCCCACTTCCACTACAGCAAAGCAAATGAACATCTGAACTCACCTTCTTTGAAGATAGCAGGTGGAGCTGAGGAAAAGCCTAACCCAACCCTAACCCTAACCCTAACCCTAACCCTAACCCTAACCCTAACCCTAACCCAACCCTAACCCTAACCCTAACCGCCCAACACAACCTGACCCTTGAAAAACGCTCTCAAATATGCCTCTGCCTGCCTTGCTTTACAACAGCATGTTGTTACAGTATATTGCTAGTGATCACTCATTTGCAATAAACAGAAACTGCATTTTAGTTTTACTTTACCCTCTGATAAAAAAACAAAACAAAACAAACCACAAAATTGCCAATAAAGTACCTTCAGCTGTAAAATAAAGCAGGCAACCACAACAGCTGTTCCCAGAAGGGAATGAGAGTGGAAGGGAACTAAATATTTAGGGAATTGCTGCCCATGGAGTTGGGGGGATTGGTTTTGTGTGGCCCCTTAGTACTATATAAGCTGAGTTTGAGGCCCAAAAGATAATTAGGAGGTTTGTGTTGTGTTCTGTTGTTTCTTTACCTGTTAGAGGCTGGTAAGTTCTCAATTTCATCTAAGCTTTGTATTTTTCTTCAACTCTCTATTTCAGAGGAGTTAATTGTGATATCTGCCGTTAGAAGAAATGTACTGGGGATATAAGCAAATGTGAAGAGGTTGAGATCATCCTAGATGGCTTTTAGATAACTGCAGGTCCTCACGTGGTTTTATGCTGGTAGCTTTTAGTTTGCTTTTAGATGCTGGAAGTGTTATTGAAACCTGCAGCTCCTTCTAATGCAATGGTTTAACTTCCAATGGAGTACTTAGAGGTTGGACTTATTTATTGAGAAAGCTATCTGTTTTTTCTTTCGTTTTAAATGAGCACAAGTACAGAGAGTTGAAGGATACCACCTGACTAATGGAAGTCTAAGAAAAGCAGTGTGATCCAGTAAGAGCCAAAAGATAAGCTTTGGCTTCAGAAAGCTTTTAGTACTTGAATGTGTTTTGTTGAATTTAATATCTTGCAGATCCTTATTTTTCAAATGTTTTTTGTAAATGTGATCCTGTGCTTCTGGTGGGAAGGTTGGATGGCTGCTAAAATATGGTGCTCTGAAATAATGGGCCTTACTGCAAGATATAGCTGAGGAATTATAGTGTGGCTGCAGCCTTAGCCCACAGTCTGATGCTGCCTTTATAGAAATAAAACAAGACCAAATGGCTTCAATCAGAACAAGAGACTTTTGTTGACAGAGACTAACTGTGCACAGTTAAAGTCACTCATCCTTAACAAAGGCCCTGACTTGTTATTTTCCTTCTATAGGATCTCCAGCTGAAAGCATGAGTTCAGTTTCCCATTAGGGCTGAAGGAGTTGCTGCTGCAAACAAACTCCATCTGAACTGCATTACTCCTGGGATTAGCACCAGAAATTATTTGGTGTTGACTGCCACCTCACAACTAATAAATGTGGGTGACATGAATCCCTGATTAAGAGTAGAGGCACGATGCACCAGAACTGAGTTAGCACTGCAGATGTTACCCTCAATAAATGTAGTAACACTGCCCTTCTATCAAACCTGTATTTGCTCAGGGTGTGCTATGGAGATGACCTCATGTGTAGCAACACTGCAGTTTTGGTCTGTCACGTAGAACCTCATAGCCTTCACAGTGTGTACACAGACCACTCTAGGAGCTAAGCCAAGGAGCCTTTGGTGTAGCAAATGCTGCTGTGGAACAGTTAAAATAAACAGGTTTTCTTTTTTCTTGCAGGTTCTGTCGAGCGACAGCATGGGGAGCAACTTCAGCATGCAGACCTGCTGTGGGACCTGCGGGAGTTATAAGAAGCAGGAGGAAGTGAATGAGGAGAGTAGTGAGACCAAGCCAATTCTGCACACCTCAGGGGACACACCAATGCATACTGATACACAGCCTTCCCCACCAGCCCTGGAAGCCTCTGAACAAATCTCTGAAGAAGCTCAGTCATTCTGCCGGGACCAACAGCTGTCAGCTGATATTGCAGAGGAGAGCATGGAGACCTGCTGTCCTGCAGATCCTGTGGGAATGACTGAGGAACAGAAGGCAGCCTGGAGCTCTGTGGATTTCTTGGTGGCATCCTCAGACAGGGAGACCAAAGAAGAGGCTGAAGTTCTGGATCAGCAAGAAAGAGAGAAAGCATGTAATACAGAAGAGAAAATAAAACCTACTCCTTATGATGAGGCCCAGCTGGCTATGCACACAGCTCAGGATCTGAAGCTTGTTGCAGATGTAGGACAGCCTGCTGAACAGGCTGGGGCTGGCAGTGAGGATGGCCCGTATGCTGGAATAACTCCCCAAGAAATAAATATTCTTGAGCTCATGGAAAGCGCATGGAAAACTGCAGCTGCTCAAGACTTTGAGATCAAGCCTCCCATGGAGACTGGTGAGAGTTTCACAGGATGGAACTCGCCACTCTGTGCTGTGCAAAAGATGGCAAAAGAGGCTGAGACCAACCTTCCTGCTGGGCACACAGAGCAGGCAGGCAGGGCTGGCCTTGCTGAAGGAAGAACTCAACTCACTGAGAGTGTCCAGATCGCATCTCCTGCAAAGGCTGCTTCTCTAATGAATGTGCAGGCTGCAGAGGAGACTGAGAACATAGTGGATCCTTCAGAAGCCATAGAGAATGCTGTGGCAGAGATGCACTCTACTTCTGCAGTGCCACAAGAAACCCTATATCCAGAAGGGTCAGCCAACCAGCTGCTTGACTTCTTACAGCAAGAGACTCAGTCTGGTGTGCCAGCTGCACAAGGGGTGCAGAGCCAAAGCTGTGCAGAATCTGCTGAATTGAGTGAGGTTTTAAGTGATGAAGACCAGCAAGTCCTCAGTGATACAGTGGGAAGTGAGGAGAGCAGGGAATGTGAGCTAGAAACTCCAGCAGATGAGGCAGAGCCACAGGAGAGGGTTGTGCAACAAATGCTGCAGCTTCCAGAAGAACTGCTTTGTGCCCAGGTGCCTGCAGAGGAAGAAGCTGAGTGTCTTAGTGTGGCACCCTTCCTGCCTGGGCACTTCATGCCTGGGAGTGAAGGAGATGTACAGGCTGAAAATGCTGAAGCTTGAGATATGTGAGGATCAATGGATTGGTGTTCAGTGCCTTTAGGAATCTTGGCCAAAAAGGAATGAGCTATCTCAGCCTTTTGGACCCAGTGTTTTGGTGGGTTTTTGTTTTTTTTTTTTTTTTTTTCCAAGTGTGTTCTGGACTTCAAAAAGTGACTTTGCTAAAGAGATGTGTGAGGTGTGCAATAGATGTTTCTAGATATTCTCCTGGATTATAGGTTGGTTGTACTTCTAGTGGCTGATTTTTTCAGATCTTGCTTTACTGGGAGAGGAGTGATTCGCTTCAACAGTGGTTTCACTGAAGAAATGCTGAGCACTGCATCCCCCAATGTAGTATGATGACATGAGGTTTCAGCTCAAAGTCTTGAGAGTCTGGGAACAGAACAGACAAAAGCTCCTCTAACCTTGCACAGTCAAACGCCTTCTGTGGCTCACTGCCACCTCTAAATCAAATGTTCCAACTACCTCCTTTTATACTTACACATTTGGTGACTGTTATTTTGTAAGCACTGAACAAATTTTCATTTGAAGCCAATGAAATAATATTCTGGTTTGTTCTTTGTATTTCTTGTAATAGTTGAAGTGCTCATACAACCTGTACTTCGTGCAGAACTTAAATGTAGTCTTAATCAGAATGCATAAGTCGGTGTATTGCAGTTTAAATCTACTGACTTTTAATGTTCATAACTTCATAATACCAATAAAAATGTTTTAAGATCATGGCAAAAACATGCTGAATGTGTTTTAATTGTTGAGCCCTTAGTTGAGGAAAAAAAAAGGCAAACTATGCTGAACTTTTCTGTCCACACTTCAGGTGATAAACAGTGACAATCTTCTCAGGAAGTCCTTTTACAAAACCTGATGACCATCTGAACTAACAGATGTATACGTGGGAGGGGGCTATGAAGGCATGCTGGAACTCTTGCATGTTTTCTAATGTGCCTGAGGATCAGGACTTTAAAGAATGCTGAGGAAAAAGTTGAAAGAAAATATATCACACTGATTTATTTTATTTCTACTTGCATGTAGCTGAGGGGCTGAGAGCTGAATATGCTAAATGAGTTGACACGTGATGGATGCCACTCCATACTTTGAAGAAAGTACTTTGGGAGTAGGATAAGCTTTCTTCAGCACCTGGACTTCCCTCCTTCCAACCACACTACAGCTGACAAATCACCCTGTAAGTCAGATTTCCAAACACATCCTCCCTTACTTAAGATTCTGTGTGCTGCAAAGAGAGAGACACCTGTAGTGTTTTTCTATTACTTAAAAGGCTGATAAACCGCAGTTCTTGCTTAGGTAGGCAATCTCTGTAGCAATGATGAACAAGAGGTTTCTCAGACCTAAAAGCAGGGAGCCATTACAAAAAGCACTCCTCTGCAAAGCCTGCTGCAAGCTCAACTTTTCAAATTCTCCAACTTGCTTGTCTTGATTTGTTCTGCTAAAGCCATGCAGTCCTTACTGCTAAAGCTTGTTTCTAAGGGCTGCTGAGCAGGGAACTGGGTGAGATAACTGCTACCTCCCCCAAATATGCCCCAGTAACGTAAAACTTCAGGCAGGAGAGAGGCTTGAGTAGGTAATCCCAAGAGAAATTAAACTCAATCACATTCATGCCTGCCTATGGGCTGATAAGTTAATTCTGTTAAGCAGGGGGATAATAAGTTACTGCACTGTATGAGAAGTTTCCTTACTGTTTGAGGGTTTAAGAGCGTGGCTTCTTAGCCTGGGAACGAGGGGAAAGCAGAAATTGTCCAAACTTTGGGAACTGTTGGGAAAAGCTCAGCACTGGCATCCAAATGGTGCTGCAGAGCTCACTCTCCGAACGCCCTTCTCGCTCTTTGAACAGAAAATCCTTCAAACAGAGCTTGTCATTCAGTTGTAATGTCAGCATGAATGATGAATGAATGAGAGATGCCCCTGGGCAGATCATCCAGTATATCTAAATGCCACAGTTAATGTGCAGAGAGGCCCTGCCATGTGCAGAGCAAGGAAGAGACAGTTCTAGGAAGAAGGAACAGCTTGAACTCGAAAAACCCAACACAGAGATCAGTGCTCTGCACTGACAGCAGCACGCTCCTTACAAGTGATGGTGCCATCTGAACAGCTTTGTAACCATTCCATGGCATTCAGTCATTCAAGCCAACCCTGAGCTGACACCTGAGCCAAGCTCCTCTTAAGGTCTATGGCTATTTGTATTTGTCAGAGGATCAGGTCTGTGCTTTTGTAGAACTGCCTTTTAAATGCATCAAAGTAGCAGAGATCAGAAAAGGCTTTTGGGAGAAAAGTGAAATCTAGCCAAGAGAGACCTGACTGCTCTGACCATTCTTTCCTCCCCCATGGGTTACAATGCCATCTTCCTTAGTGTCTCACATGTAAGAAATTTCCAGCATTGTTTCAAAGCCAGGCTGGGCTGTCTCATTTCAATACAATACAATGGTAAGGAAAAATTCCTTCTCAGAAAGATGTCCAGCACTTGTTGAAATGGTGACAACTGAGCATTTTTCCCTTGTATGAAATACAGAAATGAGTACCCACAACACTTGTAGCCAGGAGTAATTCTTCTTCTCACATGTGGTAAAAATATTAACTCAAAAGTTCCACATTTAAACAGCAAGACATGGACGCTGTACCTCATGGTTCAATGGGCAGCACGCATGGAGTAACCTCACCCAAACTCCTGCTGCATTTCTGTATCAATGGAACCACAATAACTAGACTAAGTGTAGGATGCTGAACCAGATTTGCCATCAAAAGTAGGTTCACTTAAAAATATATAAAAACAGCCTGGAATCCAGCTACTCTGACCCTCCTGTTCCTGTTCAGATCCATTGCTGCTGGCAGTGCATATTTAGGATCTGCTTTTACGCCCATGTCTGTGGGTTTAGTTTGCATTTACTGGATATTTGCTTTTGTTTTTTGCCTATGTGATCTCTTTAACTTTACAACTCCCAGTAAGTAAACACAACCAGAGTGATACTGTAACATTAATGCCAACAGAGGGTGATCAGCTATGGCTGGAAACATTAAAACAATCTGTAGCCACTGTAAAATAGCTCATTGCCTGTCTCAGTCAGTTGACGACAGCACAAAAGCAGTAAGGGGGATAATTTTTCATTCCTAACTGCCCAGTATAAAATAATATAAAGACTGCAGGTTCACTTACATCGTTTTTTTTTCACCCAGAGGGTGGTGAGGCACTGGAACAGGTTGCACAGAGGCTGTGGATGCCCCATCCCTGCAGGCATTCAAGGCCAGGCTGGATGTGGCTCCGGGCAGCCTGGGCTGCTGGTTGGTGACCTGCACACAGCAGGGGTTGGAGCTGGATGAGCGCTGTGCTCCTTTGCAACCCAGGCCATTCTATGATTCTATGATTTGTAAGTTAAAGCACTGACTGCATTCCATACATCTGTTCTTCTGTTTCTGCAGACTTAAAGTTATAAATTGAGGTCAGTTTTCATTGTCCATGACTGCACTGTTATAATCTTTAGTTTTAATTGGCAATGACCATTACAAAACAACAATAACCAAACGAATCTTGTATCAGCCATGCTCATCCACTTCCAACCCCTGCTGTGTGCAGCCATATGCTGTTTACAATGGCCATGAAATGACTGGGGAAAACAGCAAGGAAGAAGAAGGGGGGGAACTTCAGAACCTGCAGGAACTAACACTGAGAGCCAAATGGGGGAGAAATTGAGTGTGACCACCTCCTCCTATTTAAGAGAAGGCTGGTGCCTTCCTCTCCCAGGTGCTCATTAGGATGATTGCATTGGTAAGGAAGTGGCTATGGAGTGAGTGCTATGAGCTCCACGTTTATTTATTTTTTTAATATGGGTTCTTTCTTCTCTTTCATAGCCAGAGCCTCTTTGAGTGCAAGCAGTTTTTTGGTCTTGCCTTGCATAAGGGAAGGGACTGCAATTCAGTTCTCAAGATTTACTTTGTGCTGGGAGGTGTTGCTTTCTTGGTTTGCTTTGTGCCTCTTGGAGGTGACTCATCTTCTCTCAATGTTAAGGAATAAGTCATGCTATATCCTTTTTTTTTCCCCCTCTTCTTCCTGTCTGCCTTGCTTCTGCCACTACTAGCAGTTGTCCTTACTAGTAGTCTAGGCACTTTAGATGTGCTCAATTTAACTAATTGCAGCTTTACTACATGAGTCTGCAACATAATGGAATCCTACTGGCACTACTACAATCTGCTGAAAGATAACTAACAGCGGTGCCTGCATGGCTTCTAGAAGCTTAGGAGGAACTATTTTTAAGAGTGATCTGGTTTGACTGATAGGTAGCTTGTTTTCTTTCTCCCCAGACTGTTATTTATTTAAAAATCATTTCTGTACAGCAGCTCCACCTGTATTTATCTTCTGTAGCTTCTGATAACATTAGCTGGAGGATGTTATGTGAAAACATGATAACTAATGCCTACAAATGGATCCATGTCTTCCAGGTGTGAAGCTGCTGCTTTAAGAGAGTTTCCTGCTCATCTGCTGTCTGTGTGCATCCTACAGCTCCAGGAGGCAGGCATTAATTGGGCTGTTCCTTTCCATTCTGGCAATGGGTGGTCGTCTTGGCAAGAACAAGAGGCTCTGTGTGTTCCCTAAGAAAGTCACTTTTTGTAAGACCAAGAGGAAAAGGGCATCTGGGGCTGCAGGTACGTCCTGTGATGCTTCAACGTGGACTGGGGAGAACCATTTTTATTCAGCACGCATAGGGAGGACCCCCAGAGCCCCCAAACCTTTTCCTGCAGAGTCAGATTCCTTAAACACCCCTGAAGCTGAATCTGCTGCCCAAGCTAAAAAGGACACAGGAGCTGCATCTCTGCACATACAACATACTGAGGCCCCACTTTGTGCCTCTTCTAGTGATGCAGGCAATAGTGAGGGGCCACAAGACCCTGAAACCAAACCCAGCACAGAGGGGATGAAGAGCCAGGAACTTGCTGAACAGCCAAAACAAGAAGCCCAATCTGCCAGAGGCAATCTACAAGAGATGGGTAAAGCTCAAGCTGATGAGCATCCTGCTGGTGGATGGATACCCCACGAGCAACTCGGCTGCAGGGATGATGAAGTGAGGCCTCTTACAGAGACAACTGTGAAGGCTGAAGTCCACGTGTGTGCTGAAGCCCAAGGTGAGGTTCAGCCTGCTGGAATGGAGTCCAGGCTGTCAATTACTGCAGAAGAAGATGCAACAGCTCTGTGTGATTCAGAGGAAACCTGTGAGGGAAAGGATCATCAGGAAGTGCCTGTGGAGAAGGCAGCTGAGTCCCCAGCTGCTTTGTGTACAATGCAGGAGACAGAGCTGCTTCTGAAGACCATGGAGACAAGAGAAGACATCACAAGTGTGCAGAAATCTGCAGAAGAGAAAGCACACTTTGCTGCTAAAGCCTCACCTGATCCCCAGTTGGAACATGATAAAGAGGTTCCTCTTTATGAGTATATGAAAGAAAATGCTTTTGAATTGGAGCAAGCTGAAGAACAGATTGAGGTTGGTGATGATGGACAAATGTCAAATGAGATACCATGCTGCCCGCTAGGAACCCAGGCTGCTCTGCAGGATAAGGAAGAGATCAAAGCTAGCAATGGGGGAAAACAGCCTGCTGATGAGGAGTGCTGAAAGAGCACATGGAGCCTGGTGCAGCAACCACTGAGCAGGCTGAGGGTTTGTCTGCAGGAAAGCGAAGAGTCTGCTGCCTTGATCCTGCAAGGAGCCAGGATGAACAAATAACCAGTGGGAGTCTGTATCCTAAAGGGCACAGTGGGCAGGTTGTTTATGGAGCCTGCTTTAGAAAGTGGGACTGAACAGCAAGTTGGTGCACAGCTTTCCATAGGTGGCACCAACCCCCTTCTTTCCCTAGCAGGGGGGTGGTGAAGGGACACACTTATTTTTTCAGTACAAGAAGTATATTTTATGTAATTACTTTTTTTTCCACATGCATGTATACCTGAGCTAGGGTTATGGAGTTTGTAATTCTATCCCTCTGTGTAACTACAAAGGCATATTAATTCTACTTGTCTGTGCACCTCACCCTGATCATCACTGTTTGAAGCATGTTGAACTGCTGTGTGGTCTGCAATGCAACTGCAAGCAATAAATGGGCATGTTTTAATGCTTGTTGAGAGTTTCTTCATGTCCAGCTGCTCCATGGTTTGTGTTAGTTGAGTGCAGGTGAGAGTCAGGAAAAGAGCTCAGTGAAAGTGGTTGCTTCCAAAATGCAGTAAGAGAGAATTCTGATGGTGGCTTTGCTGCAATAAATGTCAGGTTCCACATGCATGATGCTGATCTCTAATAATGTAGTTCTTAAATGTAGGGAGTCTTCTTGTAAAACGTGATTAGTTGGGCAGCTGTTACTGAACTTCAAAAGCAATGCAGTGCTGAAAAGAACTGGAAAAAGAACACAGCCTAGATCATTTCCTTTAATTTCAACCAAAAAATAACAGGACTGTGCCAAATCATTCTGCTACAGCTTATGGGGAATTGTAAGTGTACTTAGACAGAAAGCTGGAGAGGCAGAATGTATAGGAGAGTGAGATTAATCTTCCCTAAGGAAACCATTTCCAGCTATTGTGTTCTTGTGTGCTTCCCATAATAGCTGTATTCATAAAGGGGGAGAAAAATAGTTAAAGGCAAGTCAGGATATGAGGGTTTTGAAAGGCATGCATCTATTTAAAGGATGACTGGTTTTACTGTCTTCATGTGCATAATCACATCAAGAATATAGTGTATCTTTATGCATTTCTTTTAAATCAAGGGACCAGGCTGGTAAGTCATAAGCCTACTGATTTAAGCCAACCTTCCTTAAAATATTTTCCCTTATGACCAAAGCAGAATGGAGACAATGTTCATGGAAATGTCAGTTTACTCTCACTTAACACACAGCATGTTCCCCCCCTTGGCTGCTGTGTGAAATCCTGAAGGCCCCTATGTCAGTTCATTACAAGCTGCCCTGGGTTGGTTACATCTAACAAAATGCTGCTTAGGTTGGTCTGAAAGAATGGATGTGCCCCCTGTACTTAGAATTAAACAACACATGTGTGGGTCTGGAGGCTTCTCCTTGCTGATGCTGAAAAAGAAACAAAGCAAAGAGCCACAGAAGCTTCTCTGCGTTGTTCTGCCTGTGTCTTACGCACTTAGATCATAACTATAATTAACTGCCAAGTATTGTCAGAGGTTGGTATTAATCATCTTCTGTTTTGCGGTTGCTGAGAGAACTCGCAGCAATGTGTTTGACAGTGCAGTGCAAAGAAATGTTGAAAGCAATGAAATGTTCAGGATGAGAATCACAGCTTTAAGAGAGAAAGGTTGTTGTTTTTTTTTTTTTTCTTGTGGTGGGCAAATGCAAAGCACCAGGAAGAAAGAAGTTAAGAGGGACAGATTAAAATGTGAAGTAGATGGCATGCTTGCATGTACTGCTGGCAAAGGATAATGGAAGTGATGGTGATGTAGGATTCCTTGGGTGACTTTCATCACTGGCTTTGGGCAAGCATTTCAGAGAACATGAAGACAAGACCTCTGGTATGGGAAGAATACGTTTGCCTTCTTGCATTAAACAATTACTCATTTTCAAGCTAAGCTTGTCACTGTATTTTATGGTTGTGATTTAATTAATGCTTGCATCTCACCACTCAACAAGGAACCACGTAACAGTGATTCATCAATTCATTCCCATTATGACTGTTTTTTGTTACCCAGCTGAGACTGAAGGTATCAGTCTAATCTAGAATCACAGCATAAGCTGTGATTACATGACACTGTTGCTGACATTCTAAAACAAACCGGTGGTTGGGGTCAATTTCAATGCCAACATATAGAATAACACTGCAGGCTACAGTTTCACAAACACTATTCCAAACTCCAAGCCTACATCAGACTGGCTTACCATAGATCTGTTCCAGTTCAGATGTTTTCCTTCAGTTTTTGTCAGCCTCTTTGGTTGCTTCAGATGTGCCACAAAGTACTGTAAAGCCAAGCTTTACTCTTGGACACCAACCATTGTGTTGTCCTGGTTTAGCCTACCCAAAATTACACTTGGGAAGATTTTGCTCTTGCAATTCTAATGGCTTGAACTGTGTGATGGAAGGGACCCTGACATTTCTGATACCTGCACTGCCTCTAATGACAACACTTTATGTTTTTGCCCTTTTCATTTTGCACGTTATTTGGCTAAAATGCTGAGTATTGATGTTGCTGGCCTCCGAATGAAAGATGCTCGTCTTCTGGTAAGCAAATAATTGGGCTCACTGACTTTGAACTGCTGAAAATAAAGATGTGATTCCAAACTTTCTAATATGATTCCTATGAGAAGAATAGGACTGAAGTTACAAAAACACTTTAATGCTTTTAAAATCCTGTTCCTGCCCTTTGAAAAGAAAGGACAGACCGTTCAGCATCAGCAGAACAGTTGTACCATCCAGAGCAGCCCCTCTATATGCCTTCCATGCCTGTGCTCCATGAGCACTGAACTCCACTGTCACTGCTGTGTGAATGCAAGCTGTACCTTTCACTGCAGTTTGCCTCTTCTTTTTTAGGCAAGTTCCAACGGCAGGATCCATTCATAAACCAGCAGTGTGAGCACAGGTCAGTTCTGTTCCCAGGCTCTAGGCTGCCCTCTTAAGATGATTAGCAGCAAATTCTTTGACTAGCAAATTGAATCACTGCAAATGAGCAGCGGAAGCATCATCACCAATTCACACAACTGTCCTGTTATAACCTTTTGCTCCCTGAAAATCTTGGCTTGCACTGTTAAGAATCTGCACTTAACAAAGCTTTATTGTGATTCAAGAGGAAACACTAAAAATACAACTTTGCAACACCCAAGAAATCAACAACTCGGGAATGAATGTTTAGGAGCTTAATATCTGCTATCTGCTCATGCTATCAGGAGCTGCAAAACGTGTTTCCCTTCCTTCTGAAGCACTCAATTCCCAGTACATTAATAGGTCTGTTTCTCTTAAACTGACTGAACTACTGACACAACTTGGTGGAGAGTTCTGAAAACAGCTGGCCAAAATAATAACACCTCCCTTAACCAAAGCTATCGCTGCTTTTTGCTGGTTTTTTGTTAACACCAAACGCTTCTGTTTCACTTAAATAGCACATCTCCTCCTGGCCATCAGCAGCAGAACATTCTGCTTGCTTCTCTGCACGCTTTTCCCTTGGTAAGGTGCGAGCCCAGGTTTAAAGCTGCAAGACCTGTCAGCAATCTGACAGCAGGATGGGAATCGTAACAAGTTCACAAACAAAAGCCAGCTCAAACAACTCAAAACCTTCCTGCACTCACTGAAGGAAAGCACTCCTCCAGAGGAAGAAACACCATTGCAGAATCCCAACCAGCTCTGCCTCCTCTGCTGCAGGTGCAGAATAAGCAGCCAGCAACATGTTGGAACTGATGAAAAGCACCTGAGATTTGCTGTTCCTGTGTGTCAGGAAGATGCATTGTGCCTATGAACCAAAGTGTAACACCTGAGCTCTAAAGCCTGCTGTGTTGCTGTTGCTCAGCCCGTGATACTGGTTATTACTGTCAACTTGCAGGTGGAAAACCCCATTGCATTTCTCTTCAGTTTTGTATGAACATTATGAGAAGAAAAAAGAAAAAATGTGCAGAAACTTACAAAGCGAATCAGGGGAATGTCCAAACAAACAAGAAATACAGAAAACAGTTCTGATATTTGGGACTGTGGCGTGGATACCTCCTTCAGTGATCAAAGATTGGTTGGCTCCCTTAATTCAAACACATCCCAAACAGTGACATAAAGTGGTGAATAGGAATTTTTTGACCTAGTAATTCTGTATGCTTTCTTTCTACCAGCAGGACTGTAATGCCTTAAACACTGCTCTCATTTTCTGATTATTTGCAGAAGAAAAGAAAACAAAAAAGAAAAAAAAAAAAAAAGGATTTCCATCTCTGCCTTTCAAAGCAGAGCAAGGATGGGATAAGTTAACTATTCTCATCCTCAGCAATGGTCTTGTCCTCTGGCTTGCTGCTATCTGAGAACTCATCCTCCAGTGCACCCGAGGGAGTTTGGGGACATCGTCACCCTCAGTTCACAAGTCATGGAGGATGCACATCAGGGCTGGAGCTCAGGACAGGGATCACACAGGACAGGGACTCAGGGATGCTGATGTCTGTTCTGATGGTTTTCCTCCTGACACCTCCTCTGAGGAAGGTCCTGCTCTTAGCAACAGAAAAGTGAATGAACATTCACAACAGGAAATGGCCAAATTAGGATCAGGAAGGAAAAACAATTTTACTACATGTGAAAAATAAGCGGTGCCTTTGCACATACGGTAATGAATATAGATCTATGACTTTCTATAAATAATGCCTCTCTTGAGACAACAGCAGTGGAATTTGGCAATCTTCAGATTTTTAAGTGCTCCTGTAGTGATGGCAACACCCCACCAACAAAAACACACCACAGAACAAACTGTTACTTTCTTTTCCTGGCTAAGCATTATGCTGTCCTTCCAAAATCACATGAAGCACTTGGCTGCTATAAGCATTCACACCAAATCGCTGATGTTGTTACAGCAATTGCTTTCTCTGAACAGTCAATCTCACAAAATATTAATTCATTTCTATCTTGTCCTCTGTCTACCTTTGGCATCAAATAGCATCTCTTTGTCCTCTGATATTTTGTTTTCTCCCATAATGAAAGCGGCTGCTTAGTCTTTCCTGCTTTCCCATCCTTACAGCTATGTTCATGCAGAGTGCCTAACTAGCATGGAATCACTCACTTCTACAGATTCTATCCATAAGAGCAGCTCAAACAGTGCATCAAAACTGCTCTGGACCCATTAGCTTCACTTTAGAAATCGTCATCCCTAAATTATAGATCTGTTTTTCTGTGGTTGCTGTTATTCTAAACCTTCTGCCCAACCATCAGTAATGATATCGTGCTGCACAGCAGCTCTGTTTTACTTTAAATATTTAGCTACAGAAAATACCACAGGATTTGCAGTGGAACAGCAGTTTAAGAGGACTAATGATGTGGGACTCGCGGGGAAATGGTTTGCTGTCATCAGCTACCCTGCTCAAGAGCAATACCTTATCAACCTGAATAAGAAATAAAGGCCAAGAAACTGCGATGCTGGAAATGGTTGAATAGAAATGCTTATTTTGTAGTTTCTCTGCCAGAAATGGGGCAGTTTCATTGTTGTTTAATTATAACATGAGTTCAAATTGTGTTTGCTTCTTTCTAGCAACTGCAGCTAATCTGCACGAGATAAATTTCAAAAGGAATTAATAGACAAAGCTGTATGTGGGTTCTTCTCTCCCTTTTCAACACCATTTTCCTCTCCTCTTTCTCTGCGAAGCACTTAATCTGTTTTCTAATGATCCTGTGGTTTTACAACAATGCTATAAATGTGACTTGAGGTAAAATTTTCTCTGCATTTGAAATGTACTGTTCCTTATTATTGCCTTAGTTTGAAGTGATAACGCTGCTGTGCTTTCTAAAAACCGAGTAAATGGTTGATAAAATAATGACCTAAGGGCCTGAAATCCACCTATTTCTGATCTCCCAACAAAGAGGCATTTTACCTTTCATTCCTCCTCCCTTCCAATTCCTACTAGGCTTATATACAGCTGCTAAGTGTGAATTTCTTTCTACAATTAACTAATGGGCTAGGAAACAAGAAGAGACCTAAATACTATTCATCTTGGTAATACAAACTAATAGCTGTAAAGTGCAGTATTGGCTGGGAGTCGTGGTGAGCAACTGACTTCTCAAGTGCTGCTAGCGATATCAAAAGACCCAAAAAAATGACTGGCCCTAGAACTAAAACAGGCTTTAAAACTATAAATCTTGTGTCCAGCCCAATCCTGGGGAACTTCCAGAGAGCTCACAGCAAGTTTTGCACTCTTTCTTATCCACCTGCTCCTCAGAAAACTGGGTCACAGAATCAATCAAGCCCTTACAGAGGGATGGGGTGTGGTCCTAATTAATTTCTAATTTGCAGGTGGATAATTGCCCTTTGAGTTATATACCACTCAGCTTAGCAACAGGGAAGAAGCCTGGTTCTCTGTCTCTGAGTGAAGGCTTTGCTGAAGTTCCTCAGTATCCTAAAGCCCACCAGCTCTCTGGAGAAGGCTGCCAGCAGGATTGCTGTACACCTTGATCATGGGAAATGAAATCAGCCACGAGAGGTATTGCAGAAGGTCTGGGAAGCCTGAAAGGCAAGCAGCTGAGCAAGAAAAGGCAGAAGGTGATCTTTTTACTGCCCAGGAGTCTCTGCTGGGGAGTAGTGAGAATCCTCTTCTAAAGGAGAAATCACAGGATGCTGCTGTGGGGGTGCAGAACAAAGACAAAGAAAGTGAACCAGCCTCATCTTCTCTGCAACACATGCAGAAGTCTGTGCCACAGACAGCAGTGCAAAGCATGGAGCTTCAAGACCATGGTGAGACTCAGCCCTCTGTGCAGGAGCCACAAAAGGCTGAAAGTGAGCCTGCTACTGTGAGCCCTGACGTGCTAAAGTGTGCTGCAACTCAGGAGAGAGCTGCAACAGCTCAGCCAGCTGCAGGAGATGTAGGACTGACAAAAACTGACTTGG